GATGCCCTTTAATTCTGTGGTGTCTTTCTGCAAATGCAGCCGGTTTAGCAGCTCCATATCAGTGCTGACTTTCTGCCATGCAGACTTTTTTTTTTTATTATTTTGCTCCCTGTGATGTGAAGCTGTGAAAACAGTTTTATTTCCAATGTGTCACCTGATGGAAGGTGGATAATGGTGTTCAGCTTTTCATAGCTTTCCAAGCCTCTATATATCTCATGAGCTCTTGCACAAAGGATGCTGAGAGACTGCAGTCTTGAGAGTTCATAGGATCCAAGAGCTAGCCATCCTATCCGACCTTCTTCTCAGTGCAGGGATCTAAACTGAAGTGTTTTCAGCAGACGGCCGTCTGGCCTGCACCTGAACATGTCCTGCCAAATTCCTGGAAGCCATTGGGGTGGGACTGGAGGAAACACAGCATGTGACTTACCAACAATTGAAGGATTGAGTAGAACACTGGAAGGTGGTAAATGTTTCACTGGAGGACATCCCAACACAGCCAACTTGATCTTGGAATGGGCTGTTTCAGGAACACCAGGAGGGTTTCAGCTTTGAAACATGCTCACTGCAGATGCTCTGCGCTAGAATTTTTGGAATGGGTCTTTTGATGTTGGACTTCTTCTGGAATATGTAGAACAGCCCGTTTCAAGATTGGAAGGTTTTGCTTACACTTGCTAGAAGCTTTCTGGTATCCATTTGCATTATTTGGATTATTTTTTAATCCTAAAGTGTTTTGGGCAACAAGGCAGAACTGTCAACTTGCTGTTAGCTTCTTCTGGGTGTGGTTTGAAGTTCCTTTTCCTAGTGGCTTCTGCCATGCCCTCACTCCCATATTCCCCTTGCCCTTTCATCTTGACCAGGATGGAATTCATGTTCCCTTGGGCATTACTCTCAGGGTCACTGAAGCTCCTGATCCCTTTAAGGTTATAATTATTAAGGTAATAATTCCCTGGGAAGGTGGCTTTCTAAAGTAGTGTTTGGTAATGCCAGTTTGCACAAACAGAACATCTTAGTCTGTAGACCTAATCAGAGATTCGCCTTTGGATTAGAAAAATGCCCCATACGGTGCCAGTGTGATGGAGCGGTTAAGGAATTGGATTTAGGACTAGGGAGATTCTGGGCTTTGCGTGGATTCAAAGAGAAGGAAGCCATCAGAAGTGGATCCATGTGGCATCCAACCTTAAAAAAGAGCTAGTTGAGCTGGAGTTGACTGTTCATTTCCATGTTTTTTAAAAATTTGTTATGCTTAATGGAGGATGCCTTCACTAAACTGGGTATATGTTGTTGGCTGTGAGGAGGACACACTGGAGTTATTACTAGTAATACTTCTATTATCATTATGGTGATGCACCATCTCTAACATGAAAAGTTAAGTCTGGAGTGAGTGAATGAATGAATGAATGAATGAATGAATGAATGAATGAGGTAAAAATCTTGATGGAATGAGTTCCAGAAATCTTGATGGAAGAGCTGGAAGATGATCTAGCAAGCAAGTTGGATGTCCATGGGGGGCTAGTTGCCATCTCTTGCACCTGGTGGCCTTTGAACATTGCTTGTAACTGAAATGTGGGGCAATTTTTCTCCCTAATTCTACTTGAGTCGCAAATTTAAGGCTTGCTGCATGGGTGAATCTCATCATTACATCATTGGCTTTTAAGAACACCATAGGAATCAATAGCAAATTGAAAAATATCTTTAGATTACTTGAAATAGCATGTTAAAGTTTGCCTTTGCTTATCAAAAGAGTGGGTTTGTGCTTTTTTAAACTCCTTTGTAGCCTGGTTTAGGTATCCAGAGACTCTATTTTCTTTCTTTCTTTCTTTCTTTCTTTCTTTCTTTCTTTCTTTCTTTCTTTCTTTTTTATGTTTTAAACATGTATTTTTGAGCAATTTCAATAAAACAGTAATGTGGAAGGCTACGGAAGGAACTGAAAAGGAAATGATAAGACGGTGGTGGTGATGATAAGAAAGTGCAGCATATAGTAGAGCGTTCTCGGGCTCCCCATCTTCATATCTCCCAACTATTTTCATTTTAAGTTGCACCTGAGATTGTTCTGGGTTGTTTTAAATACTTTCTGGTCTAGATTGGATGATAAATGAGCATCAGCCAGGAGAAGGACGTGGTGCCCTCTTCTCTGCCTCCCTCCCCACTGTGGGAAGGCAGGAGCAGAGTGGAAAGGCAACAATATTGTCAATTTCTGGTTTGTGTGAGAAGCTTCCAGTAGCTTCAGCAGCTACGTCCCCTCGGTCCAACGCAGCTGATGAGACCCCCTCCCTCCTGTTTTGCTTCCTCTCTCTTCCCTCCTCTTTCTGCACAAATGTCTAGCTTCCAGGCCACGTCATGAGCGGGCAGCATCTTCCCAGGAACCCTTGAACCCTTGAACAAAACAACATCATGTCCCCTTGCCATCTGCTGAAAAAAACAACTGAGACTTGCTAGAATTGCTCATGATGGTTGAGTATTTTAATCTCCAAATCACACGTAGCTTTTCCTCTCTTTCCAACGTCACAGCAACCCCTGATTAGGTTTGGAAAGCCCTTTTCGAGCTTCCCCGATTAAATGTTGGGTCAGCGTGTTGTCTGAGTCTGGCCTCATACACTGGCCTTACCTGTGCTAGTGCCTGTCAGTTGTGTTGTTTTTATCAGTGTTGGCTGGCAGACGCACCCTTCGCATCCTGACACGCTCTGAGAAAATAGCAAAGTGGTTTTGGTGATGCGGAGGCTGGATTTGGTGTCAAGCCTTTGAGTGCTGCGTTCTGTATCAAGTATCCGATTTTATTTTTATTATGCTGACTTTTAGCATTCCTTTAGCGTTGATCTGGTGGGGGGTTACCTTTCCCAAGGAAAGCAGGGAAGAGAATCTGCTAATCTTTCTCCATCGCTGGATTTCCTGATTTGAAAAGTCATCACCTGAATTCATCCCACCCATAAACTCTTTACAGTAAAAAAAAAATGTTGGAACTCTTTGCTTCTCCTGTGCAGCTTTTGGGACCTGCCAAGCAATTAGGAAAAGACTTTTCCAAGGCCGGTGTGTTTTTCAAGCAAACCAGTGCAGAGTTGCAGTGAAATTATTGACGTAGGGGGAATCCTGCCAAATTGCCTTGGCACGATGCTGTAAGTCTCCACTTCTGGCTGACAAATTTAAGCCATAGACTGTAATAAATAGAGGTCGAATTTCAAAGGAACTTCACAATCATTTGCCTTATAATAATACTCCCCACCACACACGCGTTCCTGATCAGGCAAAGTTATCTCTGAACAGAGGTTACTTTGCCTGAAAGTGTTTCATCTTGTACCAATTTTGGCATAAGGAGAATTTGATGATTGTGAAAAATGTGTGGCCATTCGTGCGGAAAGTCTTGAGAACGCGAGTTCAAGAAATCTGGAGGTTCCTAACCATGGGCTTTGCCCTAAAATGATATGGGAACGTATAAGGTGAGACAGGGCTTGGGTAAGTAGGAGACCACCTGCACCACTGGCCAAATTTTTGCAGGTGACATCTTTTTTTTTTTTTTTT